AGTCCGGTGGAAGGCATAAGCTGTATGGGAGGGTGGGATGGAAAGGACCCAAACTAGACTTGCCTCAAGCTACTGTGGCAGTTCAGATAGACAGAGATTAATTTGGAACTGAAGAAAGCCAAAATGATTTTATTTAACCAACTAGGTTTTCTCACTTTTAAATAAGGTGACCTATAATATCACGATTTGTTTGGGTTTTCCTCAAAGAAAATTCTCAAGTTTTCCACTACCACGTGGGAAATTTTATGGAAGATATTTCCATGTTAAAAACAAAACACATCTGACCATTTGTAACACTCTTCTAACCACCAGACTTTCAGTCCTAAGAAAAGTGAATATTATTTTCTAGTCCACATTGTTATCCCATTTCCCTTATCTCTTAATGATCCCGTTTCTGCCCATCAGCCAGGTTTAAAAATTGCAGAACAGTCAGTCACACCTCAGTTAAATGTGAGTATTGTATGTAATAGGGTGGGATAGTGAGTAATATATTTATGTAGGTAGGGCTGGGATGACATAACGGTAGATTTATATCACTCAGGTTCCTTGCATATCCCAGAATTTTGGCATTGTGTGATGCTACTATGATAAAGCACAAATATCAGAGATTGACCTGCAAGCTTTACAATGAACTAAGCACCTACATGTGCTGTTCTTGGTATTACAAAATCTTTGAAGAAAATGCCCCACAAAACCTATAATAATGCATCTCAGAGAAGGGAAAAATACTCTTACATAACTTATTCTGAGATCCATTTAGGTGGATGGTCCTTCTTTGTACTGGGCTCCAGTTTCCCGTGATGCTTATTTAGCACCATTTTATTTAACTAAATGACTTTCCTAATCCATGCGGTAAGTCATTTATTTAACAGCATATTTATTTTGTGTGTTGGCTTTTAAATTAAAAAGCATTTATATTGACCAGTTTTGGAGGAGTTATTTGTAAAACTTAGGATGTGTCCTTTGGCTGGGCTTCTTTCTGAGGCTGCAGGGATTTCAACAAGGGATTTTTACATCCCTTCAAGTTTGCTTGTGTCAAGTTAGTGAAGAAATGGGACAGCCCCTTCTCCTTTTTTTTTTTTTTTTTTAACCCTGTATCTTGATGCACATATGCAGCCAAATATAATTGCATATGCAGCACACCCGTGTTGTGCGTGATTGGAAGGAAAGCTGTTCTGGAGCGAGCGGGTATGTCATAGCTGAGTCAAGCAGGCTCCTGCTGCGCTCTGCTTTTATTGTTTGAAAAAGGTCTATGTACGAAAAAAACCTACTTCTGTTAAATATTAGTAAGACTGTAGAGTGAATTTTGATCACCGAAGTTGACTGAAGATGTATTGTCTGCTTCGTGTGTTACGTCTGGTAAATAGCTAGTTGCTGTGGAAACTGCCTGAAAAGGTAGAGGGTCACTGGTACCACATAAATTCTTTAAACAAAACCTGATCATAGCAAATTCGAACATTAGTCTTCGAAAAAGGATAAAAGAGGAGGAAGAGATTCAGACAGCTTTTTCCTTTTGTAAACTTGCTGCTTTATAGGGGAAAAATAGCTAGAAATAGTACGTCTCACAGAAAATGAAAAGGTTGTGGAGGCACTGCGTTACTGAAACAGCTGTACGAATGTGAAAGAGAAAGTTCTCCAGCTTCAGCCATTATGGGTTTGTTTGGGTAGGTCTAATTTTGGAAATCATTATAGCAAAGGTAAATGACTTGCACAGGAGACTACTGTAAACAAAAGACTCGATGCATTTACTTTGGCAGGAGTCTTGAGGAGACTCGTTCCTTTCACTGCCTCTTTTACACAGCCTCCTGTAATGCCCTCACTGACGGCCTCTGTGTGCAGGCGGTTCTCATTTCCCTTCCTCCCTCTCTGACGGCTTCTTTCCCTGACAGGTAGGATTTAAGGGTGGCAGCACCTGCTGCTGAAGTCCTGCTGGGTAGCTGTGTAATGCCTTTGTTTTTGTGCTAGCTGTCCCTTGACTTTTCAAGCCACTGCCTTTTGCTCAAGAAAGAATCTCCTCATTCTCTCCTAGCCTAGTCCTGAAGTACCATCTGTTACAAATCCTTTGCTTTTTAGTTGTGGCTCCTCTTTGGTTGCTTTTCATGTTTTGGTTTGTTTGTTTTGTTTTTATCATTTCATAGCTTTATACTTACAGACTGTAGGCACACTGATGCTTAGCTGAGTTTTCTCGTTTTTCGGTGAGGAGTAAACCATGGGAGTGATAATTCCCTTTCTAGGTCTCGGCCCATTCCACACCTACTTACTCACTCTTGTGTGGGTGGGGAAGCAGCTCTTGTGATGACAGGAGTGGCCATGCAGAGCCTGCTTTTTCTCTTTTATAAAGCTCCTTAAGAACATAGGCATGTAGCAGAGCATTCAGGGATTTCTAGAGCTGGGAGGATGAAGTAGAGGGGCAGAGTCGGTATTCTGGCTGCTGCACTCGCTTGCTGGCACCTCCCTGCTGCACTCCCTGACCTGGGTGATGTAGGAGACACCTCCTCGCACTCCTTGTAGTGGGTGACTTCTGCATGCCATCACTTCCCAGGTGGTCAGGAAGCGTTGCTTTCAGTACGAGAAATTGCTCAGCTCTACCTAAAACAGGCTGGCCAAACCCTACCTTTAATGCATTTATAAAAATACAAGTTTATTACGCTGTATCTTCAACTCACAGGAACCCATCCCAGGACATGTCCTCACCCACTTGATGCCCATGGGGGACAGCAGTGCTGCTGGTCACTTTGATCTACCGCTGGTGCCAAAGGAATCAATAGGGTCATTTGCTGCCGCTGCCCTTAGAAGCAGCACATTCTCTTTATCTCTGCAATTGCTCCCTTAGTGCTTATTAACTAGGAATACAATAATTGAGAAGCTGGTAGGAAAAGATTTTTTTTTAGTAGCTCTGATCTCTAAAATAGAGCTTAACCACATAATAATAACACATTAAAATATTTGACCAGTATGACTGATACAAACAAGCTGCCAGTGGAATGGAGTGCCTGGAAAGAGGTTTTATATCAGATTGCTTTCATCTCGTGCTGTATATACAAGGTATCTGGCTGCTTTCAGGTCATGTAACTGGTTCTGAAGAAAAAGATGTGGTTTTAGCTGCATGAACTCTTTTGAACTTCCTTCCACCTGCAGGGTCTTTGAATGTCAGGTGAAGCACACAACTTGGATTATTTTCTGATGTCTTAAGAAACCAAAAGACAACACACAACTTTTCTTAAAGAGAAACATCCTGCTCTCAAAACTTATTGAGGGGTGAAATCACAAAAGATACACCTCTTGTAACAGCTAGCACAATTGTTTGTGTTTACACCAGGAACTAATAAAATGTAGACTTCTTTTGATGTAGAAGATAGAGATGTAAAGAGATGGAGAGATGAGATGTAAAGATATTATCTCTTCCTCCTGTATAAGTTAGTGGAGAGTGATGACTTCTGCTTAGTGTGCCTAATAATTGAATATAAACCCAAAGCCAAGTCAAAAGTTTTGGCCATATATATTTGTTTTAAATTTCCAGTATGAGATTCAGCCTGACATTTCAGAGACAGAGGTGTGGCCGTTGACAGAACAGAAACTCTTGGCACAGCGAGCACGGAGCGGTTTGCGTGCTGTCTGCAGCAAAGGCAAAGGTCTTCTGCCACGGTGATGTATAAAAATAAAGACCCACTTTCCACCTGTGAATTTAATATTACAACCTTCTTTTCAACAAACAGTAAGGTAGCATAACTATTTTTAGAAGATAATGCTCATGGGCATTGGTGTGTTCCTGCTAATTTGTGATACGCTGTTCCCCTTAATTGGCTTCTGTTGTGGACAATGTGTTGCTTCCTTTCTACACATCAAAATGCTTTTTAGGTGTAACATTCTCACTTGAATCAACTGTGAAAGTAGGCTTTTCTTTCTTAAAAAGGAGTTTTGTCAACTCTGCCCTGAAGATTTGCCGAACTGAGTAATGCTAAAGATATGTACTAGTAAATGAGCACGTCTCCGACTTAAAGCCATGGTATTGGCAGGAAGGTGTATGAGAGCTCCTGCTGTGGCTTTCACTGCTTCTCACCCACCAAATCTTTAGATAAATAAAGGTGTGTGTGTGATTGCAGGAGCTGCCACTTATTGCTTTGGCTTTGGTTAGACTCAGGCTGCCAGAGAGGAGGCTGTTGGGTGTGGGAGAGTCCTTAAATTCAGAAAGTTTCATGAATTTAGTTTTTTTCTAACTCCTGAGTTACCTCTATCAGCATAGTTTAATTACTGAACAATATCTCTTTCAGCTCGAAAAAATTAAATATGTTATGATAGTGGAGGCGAGACCTGACACAGGCTCCTTGGTGTCAAGGCAGAGGGAAGGGTTGCACCGACTGTGCTTGGAGTGACCATAACGTTCTTCATACTTCCAGCAAAGTCCCAAAACCTGGATGATTTATGCCTACGAGGAAGTAGAGCTGCAGTAGCAGGAATTTGATGGTTTAGGCAGTTTCAGAGTTTCTGTTGTTATAGCCACCTTATTGCTAGTAGAAACTCTCAGAGAGCGTAGAAATCGGAAGGAAAAAAAAATTGGTACATTGTCTTATGCAACAGGAGTTGTGAGCATGGGCTGAGCTGAATCCCATTCCTGCACACAGGGAATGGCTGCAGGCAGTGTAGTCAGCAGCTACCCCAAGAACTTGGAATTTCTGCACAAGTATTTCATATCTCCTGGAAAGGTGCCAAGCAGAATGTAATTGCTCGTGGCAAAATCTTTCTCCATGGCGAGACAGGACATTGAATGCTTTTGAACTTTAAAATTGCTATGGGGTAGCTTGATCTAGCATGGTTGTGTTTAATATACAGACACATAATGAAACGTATTTCTTAATCAGATAGAGTTCTTTGATACACTTTTTGTTTTATATGTACCACCCTAACTTCAGGGGGAGGAAGGGAGTTCTTGTAATAACATATGTGTTTGTTTTTCTGTTTGGTAAATTGACAGGTGTATGGTTTTTCTTGTGTCTGCCCAGGAAACCACGTCTTGTCTCCTGGAGAGTCTGTTGGAAAAGGTCTAACGCCAGAAGCTGCAAAAGATCTCGGTCTCCCGGAAGGGATTGCAGTAGCAGCATCTCTCATTGATGCGCATGCTGGAGGACTAGGTACTCAGTCACATATTTGCTATTCTTGGAAACAGGAATGTATTGAATTAATTTTAGCCATTTTTTGCATAGCCTGTTTTGTATCCAGCAATTTGCTCTGATGCTATTCTTATGAAATAGCATAACTAAAATAAAATAAAAAAAATCCTCACAATAACTACTAATGTTGAATATCTGTTTATAGCAAAGTCCTTAAATATCACTGTTTATTTCTTTGCAGCTGGGTTTCCAAATTGTGCATTAACTTCTTTTAGTTCCACTTTGAATTCCTGAGCTGAAACACCATTGGGTTGGCAAGCCAACATGATGACAGTTTACATCTTCTATTGCTGAAAATTTTGTGGGGATAAATAAGAGAAATAAAAAGTTTCAGTTTTGAGGGAGAAGACTCACGTCTGAGGCTTGTTCATAGTTGGTCTTCCTTCTTAGCATTAGGAGCAATTCATCCCTTGTTTAAGTAATGCAGCGGAGCCTTTTTCATACACATTTATGATAGCAGAATATGGAATATATACTAAAACCAGTGCCTTTCCTTAGCTGTAAGAGGATGTAAATACTGTATATTCAAACAAAAGTAAGCAATTCTTGTTGTAGCAAACAAGAGTGGAGGGAGAACTGGCTGGTGAAAGGTAATTCCCTTCTGAGGCTTTCAATATTGTATCCATAGATGGAGTGGAAGGCCTAATAGTTTTCCTTCTTTCTTTCTTTTTTTTTTTTTTTTTTTTTTCCAGCACAATATTCTAACATGCTCAGTTTCAGGTGTATTGAAATATGTTTGGTGAGGCTCAAGTCCTTCATTTTCATACTATGCTGTTTGTCCTTATCTAAATACAGTCAAAAACAAAGTGATTCAATGTAACTTTCAGCAGGAAATTGAGGTTTTTTAGTTTGGTAGGTTAGAAAAAATTTTTACCTCAGAAAGTTTCAGTGTTATTGAAGCAGTACTGTTCAATGGAAATCTATTGCTCATCAGAATATTTTTATCTAGATCTAAATGAAATATGATTAGTTGCTAAAGTACCAGTTTTGTTTCAAATATTTTGTGGTGTTTTAAACCTTATTTATTTTTCTAGAAGTTGTGGCCTGGAACTTCTTATATGTTTAAATGCATTTACTTTGCTTCTGTAATTTTTTTCTGTAATCTTTTGCTTTTCATATTACCTCAGAAGAATTAGCTCTGGATCCAGTGTTTTGTTTTGACCAGCTGCAGAAAGGAATGTATGCAGCATGGAAGACTGAGTTTTAGTGTCATAGCTGTAGATATGTTGAGTCCTTACTATTGAGACTGATTTAAAAATCAGTTTGTGTCAATTAGTATCCTAATTGACCAAATCGTACGATCTATAGGTGCAAAAAAATGGCAGTGCCTTGGCTGTTTTGTGTTCTTGAAATGGATGTAATGATAAGCTGGTCTGAAATACAAACATTATTATGTTAACAAGTTCTGAGAAAAATATTTTAAATTAAACTTTTAAATTTTGTTTTTAAATTTAATGCTGTGTTTAAACAGGTGTTTGGTGTATTCTAATGGACTTCGTAGTCACCTACCCTTTTTTCAAATTGGACCATAGCATCAGATCTTTTGCTATAAATATGTATTAGTAAACATTTTTTGTAGTGGCTAAATCATGAATGTTTAATCAGAGAGTTTCTGTTTGTCTTCCTGTCTTCATACTGTGTGTACAGCAAAGTATTTATTAAAAAGTGGAGAATTATTTGCAGCATCTCAAACCTCTTTAGAGTTTGGGACCAAAATCTCTGTAAGACTACATTCCAGAAATAGAAGATAAAAGAAAAAAGTTTACAAAATCTGTTCTGAAGAATTTATGCTATATGTATTTTGAGGATTATATACTGAGGACAACAGTTTTTCTAAAGGGTATGGCTTATATATTAGGACATATCAGGGTAGTTTGCAGGACAATAACATCCAGTGGGTGCCATTACTCTCATTCTTGAACAAATTCTGCTTGTGGTTTTGAAAATAGCCTGTAGTAGGAGAGTAAGGAAAACAGTCCTTCTGCATCCTGCAGGCTAAACCAAAACAGCATGATGGACATCTTGTTTTCAGTGTTAATAGCATTTGATGCGCTGTTCATATCTGCTTTTGGCTGGCTATAAAATGTATTTTTGCTGGACAGGTCCCTGGAGTTTATGAAGGCTTTGAAGTTTTGAGTAAAATAAGGTAAAGATAAAGAATTATTTAATACGTATGTCAGTAGAGGTCATGTATGACTCCTCAATCAGTCCATCTGATACCTATTACAGAAAGGTAAAAACCTAAAAGCCAAATAGATATGTCTTTCATTTTGACCTACTGTACCAATTTAAAAGAGTCTACAGATAAAAATGTGAGTATGGGAGGCCAGTCTTTTGGGACTGATCTCATAAAAAGAGATCAGCATTGTTTCAGCAAAACTAGAGGATTTATTGTCCAGTATCTAAAGTACTTTGTCATTGTGGAAGAGATCCAAAAGTATGAATGCTTAGCATTGATTGTTTTAATAAAATCTGTCCTAGAGTTTGTGTGATACACAGACTTGTTCTCAGTTTGTCTTCAGAACCTTCACAAAATTTTTAGTCTGCTTTAGATTATGAAAAATCACAACTACATTAAAGATAAAAGTAACTTCTAAAAATAGTTACATTATTATTGGTTAATAAAAACATACACGTTTTCAGTATTACTATTATTATTTGCTATCTGACTTAAATTAATCACAAATAGGAAGACTCCAGTAACTCTATAAACACTAAAGCCATTGACAAAATTCCACTGATTTCAGTAAAACCCAAAAGGCATATTCTGCAGAATGCATATTTTGCAGATGCATGTTTTCATAGTGATTAAAAAAAAAATCTAAACATGAAGCTCTTCAATTTTGTATTGTTCATGAAAATACATTTGCAACATATGCTGACAAATCAGTTTAATATTTCTTCGCTCTGAAGCATGAACAGTATTTTTAACTCCTTTTAGAATTTTTAATACAGTATTTTCTAGTACAGGAAACTGCCTTTTAGATAACCGTATCCACAATTCTTAATATAAACTCTTGCACATGTCTGCTTGAGCAGTGAAAAATAAAGTGTAAGAAACATTACTTTTAGTTTTCTGTTGTTCCTTACAAATAAGCTCTGTGTATGACAGCCATGCTTCTATGTAGTCACAAGCCAGCTAAGATAAAGGGGTATAAGGAAAGATTTTTCCTTATAAGGAAAGACACTAAAATTTAGCCCTTAATTTTCTGATTATTTTAGTAACTTTCAACCATGATAATACCATGATAACCATGACAACCCTGATAAGACAAAGCCCAACAGATTAATTTGATAATAGAATCTTGCAATGGTGTCCTACATCAGAGGGTGTTAATGAAATGTAGCATGCTAACCACAACACTTGGCATCTTTCAATTCTTAAAATCTTTTATTTTGAAAATATAAAATGTCCAGCAAACGTTTTTGCCATCCTCCTACAGTGTGGAGAAAGGTTGTTGTAGGCTTGTTTGTTTCTTTGTTTGTTTTGTTTTGTTTTTGTAGGATTGGCAACATAGTCACCAAACTGCACCTTGATCTGATTGATTGAAAAATAATGATCAAGAGAAACAAGACAAACTAAAGAACATTTCTTGTCATGTTGCTTCGGTTTTCTGGATGTAGGACAATGCAACATAAGAATGTAACCTAAGAGAAGAAGGAGAGGGCAGAATTTCCACTTCAGCCTGCCCTTAATTGATCTAAGCATAATAACATGCATGTTGAAGTTGGCTGTAGATCTGCCCCAAATCTGTAAGCACACTCCTGGCTCTTCTCTGGCATCTTCTGATATAAATTCCTGCTGTGAGCCGAGTGCTTGTTGAATTTGTCATCCTTCCTGTCCTGTCCTGGATGCAGAAGCTCCTCATAGACAAGCACAACTCCTCTTAGGGAAGGAGGAATTTCTTCTCTTGAGGATGCTTCTGTCTGATGTGGACAGGACAGCAGCAGCAGGCAAGACAACAAACTTGGCATCTTTCCAGTCTCCTGCCAAGTTATCCAATATTTCAACTCGTCCCCTGACAAAACCCATCATACAGTATATACAAGATAAACTGTCAACAAATAAACATACCTGCTGGAGTGCCTTTCCTAGCAAGGCAGGCTTTTATTCTGTATCTTAGTGTACTACCTAAGAAGTAAACAATAACCAAAGGTCAGCTTATAGTTGAAATAACACTTAAAGATTATGATGATAAACATGAACAAGAAATCATCTCGTGTCCTCATGCATCTGTAATAATAATTAAAAAACCTCACACATTATATCAGCTATTTTATGGCTTTGTTTATTTTCTAAGTAGACTTATTATGATTTGCAGTAGCGGTGTGAGATACTTGGCAATTATTTGTGCATGGAAAAGCACTGTTTTGTGAGGGCTGGCTTGCTCTTCTTTAAAATCGAATTTTAATTTTATTTTAATAGGAGTAATTGGAGCAGATGTGAAAGGACATAACCTGCCATGTGAAAACCAGCCAATTACATCGCGAGTTGCTATGATCTGTGGAACATCTTCATGCCACATGGGGGTAGGTTGTATGCATAGTCCTAATTTGTACAGAATATAGTAACTAATGTGTCTGAAGGGAAAAATGACCTTTGTACCTCTCACCCTTTTCTTTTGCCTCGATTTTTTTTTTCTGGTAACTCTATCTTTAACTTTGGATATTAATTATATATTACCATGCATTTGCTATTAAGCAAGGACTTTAATAGTAGTAGAAATCAATACTGAAAAATGACATGAAAAGTAAAAACCGCGATGCTAGAGTGGCTTAAAGAGCAGGCTGAAATCTGAGCTTGAGTTATCTGTGACAAGCTTGTCACTAATGTGTTGCAGAATAGTGTCTTTGGAGAAGGAATACATATCTCCAGTCACAGCCCTTCTCCATCACCACTTCACTTAATCAATATAAATCGTTCTACCTCTGAAAGTTGCCATGATCTATAGAATTATGATCCGTATCATGACTAAAAAGAAAAACCTAGATAAGCAATTTTCACTTTGCTAATTTTTCTCAGAGAATTAATACAAAAGCTTTTTCTGAAATTGCAATTAAAATTTAGTGTCTGCTTTTGAAATTTATACCTTTTTAAAATGTATGAGTCTGAAAGCATTCCATTTAGATAAGTACCCTTTTCTGCCACATTTTTTATTTAAAACTCATTTTGCTCTTAAATTTAGACTGATAATAACTTGTTTTTTCCTAAATGAGCACATGGCAGTGGGAGTGCTAGAGGCTTTAGAGAGGACTAACATGCTTCATGGAGAGAGATATCCAGTAGAGAAAAAGAAAGAAAGGCAATAATAAAATGTCAGGTTTAGCAGAATCTGTAAGTTGTCTTTGTAGTAACAGCATGTATTAAAATGGTCTTGTCACATGGATTGTAGTTCAACAAAGCATTTAAGCACATGATTGAATTTAAAGATATGAATAATCCCAGTATTGTGAAGTAGAGCATTTTTTAACAAAAGCTTAAATCCTGTACAACTATTGGAATATATTTGGGTTCCTTCCCAAGTAAGAGAGTCAAACCTCTAACTCCACCACTCTTAGCTTACTCTGTCTCTGAAAAATCACACTGATACCTCTGTGTCTGTCAAGGTGCAGTTAAGGCACCCTGCAGATACCAACTCTGGGGGAAGACCATGCCCCTCCAAGCCTGCCTCTATTTTATTATTTCCACTTCTGATGGAGGTTTCTGCCCCTTCAGAATAATCTGTTTATGTGAACTCTTCCTAACCTGTTTCATTTAGCTGAGTTAGTTTAAATCATTAAACTAAGCTGGGTTAATAGAGACATAATACTGGGCTGCCATGAGCTAAGGAGCTCTCAGACAGTTTCCCCAAAAGGTCTGAGGGCAACGTGGAGCAGCTGGAAATGGGCCAGCTGGCTGTAACTTACTCCTTTAATATAACTCACCCTGGAAGGAGGACATGTGTATGGTTATTTATTAATTTTTAATCTATGTATATTGGTAAGTTCCAATGTAGACCCAGTTCACAACTGCAGTTTGTTTCCTTTGCCAAACTGGAGCAAAGCATGTCAGGATAGAGACTTTAACAGCACTTGCTGTGTGTGCACTCCGTGACAATGTCAGACATGGCTCCATTAGCTGTGCTAATGTAAGAGAAGTGGTGTGATAAAGTCCGTGCTGATGTGAATCGATGTTCTGTTCTGTCCTTAAAGCTAGCCCTAAAGCCTGCATAGGCTACACGCCATCAGCAAGGTAGAACCTTTCAAGACTCTTAATGGTTTGAATGCAAGCTCAGGGATAGATGCTTGTGCAGTTTTGGGTTTATTTAAATATAACTACTCAGCATTTTATAATCATTTCCTTCACTGCCTTCTTTCACTCCACTGATCAGAGGCATGGCAATCTCTAGCCAACAGACAATAAGCCAATTCTGAACTTCTCTGGATTTAATCTATGAAAAGATTTTGGTTTACTGCTCTTTTATCTATTACCTGCATATACTGTATGAAATAAATGTGGAGCACACAGAGCAGTTGTATTTGTGTTTTAATGAGACCTATACGCAGCTGCATTTGGCTGGAATTAGCTGTTCCTTTTTTTAATTAGGGCTATAAAATGAAAGTATATTATACTTGTGTTTTGATAGAAATATATATTTTCTCTCCCCATGTGCACCGAGGGACCCTCAGGGCTACAGAGATTAATCATCGAGTTTAATTTAATGCAGTGGGAGAGAGACCTGTGTGGTCAGGCGGGCATTAAAAAGTGCCTTTGATCTGCCTCAGGTGCACTGAGCCCCAGTGAGCCAGCAACAATAATACCTTTGTGAGATGATCAGAGAAGAGAGAGGGAGAAAATGGCCTGTGTGGAAACTCAAGGCCGTCCTTTGTTGTGGTTCTGGCAAACGCAAGAGCCAACTGTCAGGAGAAATTCAGAAAACAGAAAGCAGGGTGAAAGTACGGTTGGATTTCTTTCAAGGGATCGTAACAGGAAACTGTTCAAAATCATCTGCTGTGCCTCCCCCCCTTCCTCCCCTTGGTGGGGGCAGGGGCGCTGCTGCTGCTCGGGGTGTCTTGGTACAGCATTTCCCTTCTCATACTCCGTGAGTCACAGGGCAGGTATTGCTCGAGCGTGGCATTTGCTTTAAACTTTTAAGAGAAATAACTCCATGACCCAGTTTTCATTACCTCAAGGACTCCGGAGATCTTGAACAAAAGACTTTGCTAATCATGCCTTTGATATTTTAGAGAGTACAAATGTGGAACCTAATTTTACTCCTGGCTGTAATAGTTTAATTTGTGGTAGAAGTATCGTTTTTAAGTGAGGATACTCTTTTTGGAATTAACCACCGACAGTTTGGGGTGATCAGGCACACGCGAAGCATTGTGTTTCTGTTGAGATACTTGACTAGCTCATGAAAGAGGCAAAAAGCATGTTGTAATTAGGTTACTGATCCACGTCCAGGTCCGAGCTGGTAGTTGCTGAAAGTCGCTGCCACCTCAGGGCTCATCCATTATCCATGAGAGGAAAAAAAAAGAAAAAAAAAAGATGGTCTGTGGAATATTTTTGGACAGTTATTCATTCTGTGTGATTCTCTGCTGCCTCCTTTGCCCTAGCAAAAAGTCATCAGCGAAATTTTGCATTTGGAATGGCAAATAAGCTGTCCTTTTACTTGTGAAGGTCTGTCCCTCAGTTCAGGGCTGGGATTCATTTGCTGTGGCTTTGATCTCTGTGGAGAGCGTAGGTATGCCTTTCAAGTGAGGGACACTCAGTGGCTGGCTTTTCTGAGTGGGCTGCTGCAGGTCATTGTACTGTGTAGAAAGGGTCTCTGAACTCCAGCACCCACATTTCAGTGTTGGAGCTTTTAGGAGACTTTGCTTGTGTAGCCATGGTGACAACCCAAAATACGTGAGTCGTTTCTCACAGTGAAATAGCAGCAGGTTTGAGGCATTGAAATAGAAGCTTGTACGTTATTCCCAAGTAGTGGTTTGCATCGGTCTAACAGACATGCCTTAGCTGCTGGGAATAAGGCAGTTGTTTCCCTAAAAGCCTGTCTTCCTGCCAGTGTCTTATGTGTCTGATATTTTAACGTTTTCAGAAATCCTTTGTTTTCTTCTGAAACCTGTGTGTGATCGGAGGGATTTCAGTACAGACATCTGTATTATCTTGTCCCGCTCCTAAACAGAAACATGCTTGCCCTTTTGCAGATGTGTAAAACCACGAAGAATTGGGTTAACTCTTGCAAACAGCAAAAGAGCAATACAAACAAGGGTACTCCTACCAGGAATTTCCTAGTCTTCCTTGCAGCAAATAACCCAGCAGTGTTGCTGCTTCTTACTAGTATATAAATCTCGTGATTTCCCGTACATGCTATTAGAATAACACTCTTTTCATGGACACTAAATTGACATTATAACACCTTTTATAACACCTTTTTTTTTTCCCCTCAAAGTAAAATGTTTTATGATATTAGCCTTTTTGAGACTACAGGTTTGAGTAAGCTATGTTACAACCAGCACATTGCGACCACTCTGGTTTTGAAGATTTTGAAAAGAGTTATAAGTAAAATTTTTTTCCTAAAACTAATTTTGTAAGTGTACTGATTATGTACTACATATGCATAAAGTAAAAGAGATCTACCTAAAATATCCCTGGTCATAAAACATGTATAACTTTTATTTCTGCCTATGCTGCGGTGAATTAGGTGCAGTGAGGGATCGGTGTTCTGCTTTGCACTTGTTGCAGAACAGTTGTTCCCATGACAAATATTTGTCATTCCTGCCCGAACACCTCTTTGGATTCACAGCTGAAGGAAGTAGCCAGAGCCCAGAACAGCTTTTAACGGGAACATTGCCTGGCCTCATTTCAGCTTACTGAGGGAATAGGGGATCTGAATTTGCTGGCATTTCAGTCCCAAATATACCATGTCTGTGTTTTGTCCTGTTGAGGATCTCTCTTTGTTTTTTTCCATCTTCATTTGGTGATGTGGTCTGTGTGCTTCTTCAACCATTCCTTTTTCTTTATCAGCAATCTGTGCAAAATTTCCTTTTGGGGACTGTCAGGTCACCTTTTGGTTCAGATGGAGTCTCTTCCTTTGCATCTTTTTGCTGCTCCTGTGCTCCTTGTCATTGTGAACTGAGTCACCTGGCTTGCTGCACAGTGCTTTTTTTCCCCTGGTGGCAATGCGCATGTGGTTTGAAGCTTATAATTTAGTCCCTTTTAAAATTTGAGAAGCACAAGTAATTCACTTTTTATCTTGCCAGATTCACTATATAACCTAAGAGACAGAGCTTGAGCAACTACACAAAGAGCAAAATGGGCAGCTCATTTTGCTGTTCCTGTGCTTACTATGGATTATTTTAGGAAGAATATCCCATAGGCTCTTTTACCAAGCCTGACTAGTCTTTGCCTGTTTTCTGCTAAAGGAACTTGAGTCCAATTTGCTTATTCTAAATTTGTTCATTTGATTCTCGTGATGACTGGCAAACACAATAGGGCTTCGTTGCTCCACAATATCCGCCCAGGCTGCCAGCTTTGTTCACACAAATAG